AAACAAATCCAATTTCACTTTAAAACATTGTTTAGTTTAAAAATCTCCTTTTCATTAAAATCCCAATCTAAAATTCCATAACGATTTTATTCAACAACTTCTATCATCAACAATAGTTTCATCAAATTCTAATATTTACCAAACTTCATCATCTCCATGTGTTCCAATACCATATCAATGTCAATTTTAACATAAAACCATCAATTAGTTTCAAAACCCTTTTTATACAAAATTTCAAACTTAGGGTTTAAAGAAAATTGGGGGTTTCCCTCGTTTTCCTCACGAAATCTTCAAAGATTATTTATCAACATGTCAAAAAAATTCAAAAACTTGAGTGAAAATCCCATTTTATACATTAATACCTTTTAATAAAAAATCTCTACGTCATACGTAACTATACTTACAAAAATACACATAATCACATCAAAATATAGATATACATAATTAAAAGTATTCCTACCTCAAAGGAGAGAGAGATTGGTTGAACACCCAAACTTCGACGGCGATGAAAACACGATCTAATCGGTCATTATATTACTCTCGACGATCCACGCACTCCGTCCTTAAGAACTAGGGTGAGATTTTCACCCAAAAACTCTAGATCTAAGGTTTTATTAGCTTAGGGGTCAAAAATGACGGATCAGATAGAGAAAATCTGATTTTTTTTTTCACGTACACAAGTCTTAAATAGCTAGACCATCGTAGACGTAATGCCCACCATCATGGACGCGACCATGATGCTAGTAGGTGCCATCATGAGCGCAAATCGATTCAGCAAACAAGATACTAGTTGTGGTTTTTCGTAGCAAGCGCAACTTGGTGATCGCGAGCGTGATCATGTACTTAGAAAAGTTGCTAGTTCTGTTCCTAAAGCACTCCCTACACATCAACTTTATTTCCATATGTAAGCATTTTTACTTAAGTTTACAATGTATATAAGAAAATTTCCCCTACTTGGATTCAAAGAAAAATGCAAAAAAATTAAAATCCAATTAAATCAAAAAGTGGTTCCTCCAGTTTAATACAAAAATAATTTTCCAACTGCAATTACTAAGTTTGATGTTGAAGTAAAGTGGCTAATACTTCATAGAAAAATCTCTATTTCATATATAAGTAACAATTATTTTTAAAATTGTGAGTTTTGAAAATTTCAGTTTTCACACTTAGAAAACTTTCAGACTAAGTCCAATTTTGAAGGAAAAACCTTTTTAATACGACCATCTTTATACAATGAAAAAAAAAAAAAAGGGTCGGGTCTTGACTCGAGCTGTTACAGTATTCCACTATGGCAATACAAAAGCATAACTAAACAAATAATTCTAGTATCTTCATAATTTCCAATATTTCCAACATTTCCAATAGTTCCAATATTTTCAAAAGATTTCCAATAAATTCAACAATAACCAAGGTTTCCAAGGAAATCTACAATTTCCATAACAATTCATCTATTTCTCAACATTTTACTCAAAACACAACATTTCCCCTATATTCTCAACATTTTAGGGTTTGAAAAAAATGAATAAACTACAAATAGGTCCTAATAGTTAGACTTAATTCTCATTAAGTCCTATTGAAAATAAGTATTGGAAAAATTATCGCTAAAAATAATTTTTTTGTGACAATTCTTTACATATGTAGCTAAAAATTAGCAATTAGTGACTTTTTTTTGTCATGATTTTTATAAATTGTCACTAAAACTTACAATTAGTGACTTTTTCTATGAAAATTTTTTTCCATAGGACCTATTAGACAATAAGTCAACTTATTAGAACCTACACGTAAGTACCCTAAAAAAAATGTAAGGCTTCCTAAATTTTAATAACAAACTTTGAAATTAAAGCACCATTTATCAATTTGAAAGAAAAAATTCTAAATTTAAAATCAAAACCAAAAAGCCCTAGTTTTATACATATACATATATCAAAACTCAAATTTCTCCAAAATTTATATATAATAAAATACTACATAAATATATCAAAACAAATATACAATGGTAATAGAATCCCTACCTCAAATTAGAGAGGAACGAGCGACAAGTCCCAAAATCAAATGTGCTGAAATCACGATCAGCTCTGGTCAAAATGAAGCTCTCGATGCACTCTACACTTTACTTCAAAGAATCAAGGTGAAAAGATTATCCAAAACAGAGTGGATCAAAGGTTTTGTATAAAATGGTTAAAGTTTTGGAAAGAGGGAGAGAGAGGTTTCGGAGAAGAGATAGAAAGAGAAAAGAGAGAAGTGGGGAAGAAAGAGAAGAAAAAAAGATTTATATTCAAAATTTAGTCAATATGATCGATCAGCTATGGATCAGAGCGTTCTATTGAAAACTTACTTAAAATTATTAGGAAAAGCGATCGATATCCCTTTTTGATCGGAGCATTATACTCAAAATTGACCAACAAAATAATTCAGAGAGCGATCAATCACCCTTGAAGTGTGGGATACAAAATAGTAACAATAACAATATCAAAACAACATAGGTGATGGGTTTCCTACACTTCTAATTTTCATCCTTATGCCCGATATTCAAATATTAAATACAATAGGTGCCAAATAGGAATTAACACGATCTTGATCACACTCGTCAAACATAACTCATCACATCAAGAGTTCAAAATAGCTGTGGTATGTTTAAACATGTGGATTCAAGTCGGGTTTATGACCTGAGACACTACACTAAACAAGGGTGATTCTCCAAATCTCACCTCTCTCTCTCTCTCTTAAACGAAATCTGCTACAAACCATATTCATTTTTCAATAATAAATTTATTAGTCTCTATTGTTCTATGTGCGCGTATGGGAGAGAGGAGTGTAGGTTCTTGTAAGTAAGTGAACATATGTAAGAGTAAGTTAATCAAAATTGTTGTTTGTAATTTTTTTACAAATCAAATAATGATAAATTTATGTGAGTGAACAAATAACAATGAGTAAGTGTTAGTGAATAAATAACAATGAGTAAGTGTGTGTGTGTATGTGTGTGTAAATGTGTGTGTGAAAATGAGTGACTGGATGGTGATAGTAATGGCATGGTTGTAATAGATGTCGTTTTCATTGAAAAATGACTGGAAAAATGTTGCAAAAAACTATCGTCGGAAGTCGTCAAAGGCCAAGGGTGGTCATCACCAGTTAGAGACAATCACTAGATGTGGTAACCAATGGTCAAAGGTGGTCCCAAGTGGTCGGATATAGGGGCTAGTGGTAGTCATTGGAAGACGAAAAAAAAAAAAAAACTTATAAATAATTAAGTTTGGTCAATAGGCTTGGCTCATGAGCGCTCCGAAAATTTACTCACATAGGTCTAACCTAAACAAGGCCTAATAAATGGGCCAAGCCCAACCAAAATGTCCATAAGATAACTTTGCTAGGTCATGACCACCACCTCTATAAATGGAAGATTACTACTTGAAAAGAGGCACGTCTCATCTCTACAATACACACGCAACACACTATGGCTCTCTCATGGAGGATCGTTCCTAACATTATCAACCAAATATCCCAGACAGGAAGCCACCAGTTGGGCGGCATGAATCATGTTTTATTTTGCAGATCCAAGCTTATCTCTTGTTAGATCTTTCAACAATTTTTTGTGAGATGATTTTAGGTTTCATAGCCATAAAAACACAATTTTTTTTTATTAAATTAAAACACATCTTAAGAAAGTTTTAAAGAAAAAATTAGAATTGTTTTATTACACAAATGTTTTACACAAAATGCATAATTTTTTTTAAATTTATTAACATGTGAGATAAGGATAGAAGTTAACAAAATAGATAGGGTAAATCATCCTGATCATCACTGAGATTAGAAAAAATACAATAAATTTACGATTTTGATATGATTGCACTAATTTCTCTTTTAATAAGGTTAAATGGATTAAAATTAATGTAGATTATATAAAAATACAAAAATAAACAAGATAAAATATTTGAATCAAACTCAAGTCTGGCTTAAACAGTCAAAACTCGTTTAGAGACTATTCTAGCAAAAAAGTTAAAAAGTCATTATAAGTTATTACATCATCCTCCCTATTTTTTTATATATTTTTTCATAAAAAATAAAAAAAATTACTAAAATAACATGTTTCTAAACGAGACGGGCTAGACAACTAAACAACCTTTCAACCTATCTAAACTAACTCAAATTGCAACCTCCTTATTAGGGGTGTGGTTCAGGCGGTTTGAAATCAAATTACAGACCGGATTCGCGAAATGGTGAATTGCGGTTTAAGCAGTATTAGGAAAATTAACGGATTAAAGAATATTTTAATTAATTATCAAATATTTACATAATATATAACACTAATTTATATAATATTATATATATATATAATACAAACTAATTTTACATAATATGTTGCATATATATAATTACTAATTGGGTAAATTATGCAAATAGTGCATGTACTTTACACGATGTGTCAATTTGATCCCCATAGTTTCAATTTGCTCGATTTTACCCCTTAATTTAACGGATTATGTCATTTCAGTCCAATAAATAACGATTGTTAAATTAATTTAACGGAAGGTCAAATAATGTGTCAATTTGGTCCTTGTACTTTACACGATGTGTTAATTTGGTCCATGTAGTTTCAATTTTTTTAATTTTGATAAGGACTAAATTGACACATTGTGAAAAATACAGGGACCAAATTGACACATTGTTTGATTTTCTATTAAATTAACTTAACAACCATTATTTATTAGACTAAAATGACACAATCCATTAAATTAAGGAGTAAAATCGAGCAAATTGAAACTACAAAGACCAAATTGACACATCGTGTAAAGTACAGAGACTATTTACACAATTTTTCTTTATTAATTTGTAATAAATTTCATATTTTAAATATCTCTCACACTTATTTTTATTTTAACATTTTAGTAAATGTTAAAATATATATATATATATATTAATTATAACGGTGTAGAATAATTTTAAAGACAAATTATAAATTTAAAATTTTAATTCACAATTAATAAATAAATAAAGCGGTATGAATGGATTCGAATGCATACGGTTTAAACAATTAGAAGGTATTTTGGACAAAGCAACACTCTTAAACCCTACTCCCTCCTCTCTCTCTCTCTCGGTCTCTCTCCAACGCAGCACAAAAGCGGTGAGCATTTTAGGGTTTTTTGGAGTCTTCTCCTTCATCTCTATCCCTACATTCTCTCTGTCTCTTTATCTCTCTACTTTGTGAAGATTGTGTTGTATGATCGCTGTTATGATATTGATGTGGTGGTTAATTGAGAAGATAATTGTGTGTTGTATATTAATTTCAGGTGTGTTTTGGGGGGCTTAAACAATGATTGTACTGTTCGAAACCCCAGCCGGCTTTGCCCTTTTCAAAGTATTAGACGAAGGGAAACTCTCCAAAGTTGAGGTAACTTCAACCCAGCTGTTCATATTCTCTCACATATAATACATACAAATTTTCATGTATATACATAAATATATATAGGGATTCAAGCTTTATGAGTTTGTGGTGTATATCTTATTCACATTGTTATGCTTTTGTGTTGTAGGACTTGTGGAAGGCGTTTTCAACCGCTGATTCTGCTAGACAGGTCGTTTCTATACACTTTTATGTTTTCATACACATACGTACAATGTATATGCCTATATATATTGCGAATATTGATTCTATATACTTTTGGTGGAAGATTCTTTTAGATATCGCAAAAAGTAAAGAATTACAACAAAAAATCAAAAAAAAAAAAAAAGTCAAATGGTGTTTATAATTCAAGCATTGTGTAGTTAAGTTGGTATTTGAGACATCCAAGCTGTTGGACGTGATGATTTCAAAGTAAACCAGACTGTGGTTTGGGTCTTGGTGCCTGAAAAAGAATGCTTAGACTCCATTTAAGTCTAAGAAGCTTTTAGTAGTTGTACATGTAGCATCCCACCAATGTTTTTGTTTTTGGTGGTTTGTGTTTCTGGTTGCCTCCCATATTGAAAAATCTAAAAATTTCCTAGAAATTGATTTGTAATTATGTAACAATTTTAAGCAGTCTATAACAATCCCAATCAAACAATCAAGACAAATCAACACAACGATTTTAAGACACTTCCAACTGTGATTAAAAAAATCACGGGTAACAGCCACAAAACAATCCACTAAGAAGATTTAAAGGAATTACACAGGTATACTCTCAATTACCTAGCGAATTCACGCCTCATTGAACTAATCTCTATGTGCCTCTTCCAACCCGTCTTCACCTCAGAATTGTCTTTACGATGAGCCACCCCGGAATCCACCAAAACTTCAGGCTCGAATTCTTCAGAATCCACCGAAGAACAACTCTCTCTTTTGTAGAACAAACAAAACCTTTGATGTATACTCTTTAAAACATGAGTTGAATACTCAATCAAAACATCAAAGAAAACTCACAAAGTATCCCCAAATATAAACCCTAGAACCCAAAAAGAAGATCTGGAGTCGTAATCCTAAAATCTGACCCAACACGCGAATTTATAGAATCTGTCCCGCGATCTCCGCTCGAGCGCCCAACAGCCCGCTCAAGCGGCTTCAGCAAAATATGCGCGTGATAAAACAGAGGTCCGCTCGAGCGCGAAATCACACCTTCCAGTATTTTTACAGACCTGACAAACTTGTGAAACCCAGCATTCTCCACTCGAGCGGGGTAATGTCCGCTCGAGCGGACAGGCAATTTGGAATGCATTTTTGCATTTTGCTTCGGGGGCGCTGCCCCTTCGACCCCCGCGAGCTGACCGAGCAGCTCGATCCTCGTCATAATCAGCGAAGTGACAATCTTGAAAGCATTAGTATCACAAACTTCTCTGAAAGGCACAATTTGGGTTGGATTCGCATCTAAACACTCATAACCTCACTGAAATAAATGTGCGAAAATAAATATAACTGAAAGGAGTTTTGTCAAACGGGATTGCCAAGAATAAAACCTAACACATATATTCAGTGTCCTTTGCATTGCTTCGACTGTGAATCATCTGTTAGAAATATAGGTTGTAAGATGCTTGTAAATTGGCAAAGTGCTTGCATCTTTGTTCAAAATGGTTGAGTAACTCTTCCAACACCAACACTTTTTCTTTTTCTTTTTTTCCCGGTTTGTATGTACGACAATACCTGCATTTAATTTGGTAAAAATAAAATGGTAGTCCTGTCACAGGAAAATTTCTCTGATTAATTATAAATTACATTAGGATTTATTAGTATAATATTTATGCCATTTTTAATTTCTTATCAATTTTTTTTTTTAATTTTTTGTCTGCATCTTAAAATTAAAATAATTCAATTTACACCAATTAACTTATGTTTTGTTTTGATATCAATGTTTAGGTTGTGAAGCTAAAAGCTTTCTCCAAGTTTGAGAACACGTCTGAGGCCTTGTCAGCAGCCACCTTGTTGATAGATAGCAAGCCTAGCAAAGGTCTGCGCAAGTTCTTGCGTGCTCATTGTGATGGTGAAACTTTAGCTGTGGCTGATTCTAAACTTGGAAATGCAATTAAGGAGAAACTGGTGATCTAGTGCTCTTTTTTGCAAGATTATTTGTATTTCATTCCACCATAATTCTTCCACTAATATTCCATCTAAGTTGTATTAATTGATGTCTTGCAGCAAATTGAATGTTTTCACAACAATGCCGTCATGGAATTGATGCGAGGGGTGAGAAGCCAATTGACGGAACTCATATGTGGCCTGGCTGCACAGGATTTGGCTCCAATGAGCTTGGGTTTATCTCACAGCCTATCTAGATACAAATTGAAATTTAGTCCTGATAAGGTGAGTTTGTTACTATTATTTTATTTTTATTTTTTTGAAATCTAGCTGTTGTGGTATTAGTTGACAGAGATGAAACGGTAATTTCCTTTGTTATGGAAGCTAGTATTTTGTCTAATACAAGGGGATAAAATCGAAAATTTTAAAAAATGACGAATTTTATGATCCGTGGATGCCACCTTGTTAAGGTATAAAGTTGGCTCACTTGAGTGTTTATTGACAACACTATTGAGCCATAAAAGATATAATATAACCAATGCTTCCTCAATGCAGTCTTTACCGCGACAGTTTTGTGGTTGAAGTACTATTTAATGTCATTGCCC